TTTTTTTTTTGGTTTTTTTTCCTGTTTTTCAGTATCCTTTCAAATGTAAACCCAGGCTTTGATCAGCTGTCTGATACCAGGGCTCTGATGTCAGTGTGGAGTTGTTCCTGTGGATGTTTCCCTGTGAATGTGTCTAATTATGGTGCTGGTCTCATAATCTGTGAGTTTTTGTTCTTAGCAAGCCCTAAAACCGTTTTAGGGTCAGCACTTTCCTGGTCCCACCGCCAAAGGTTGGCCCAAATTCCCTTCCTGCCAGGTGTGCAACTGCAGGGAGCCACAGGGGCTGGAAACCAAAACCTTTAGGATCAGAATAAGAGCAGGAAGCTCATCAGGGATGAAAACAGCCCGGAGGCTCCATCAGATTTGCATAAACAAGCAGTCTGTCCCCTATTTACATCTCTTCCCTCAGGAAAGCAAACAGACTGCTCCCATCCCTTGGCTCTGCAGTTTTGTCCCCTGAGTGATGCTCCAGAAGCATCTTGAACTCTCGAAGAATGTCCCGGTGAGTCAGAGAGGACGTGGAGCTCCCAGCATTGCCCAGAAGAGCTCTCTGGCAGCCCAGCCCAGCCTGCTGTTCCTGCAGAAGCTGCTTCCTCCACAGCACAAACCTCTTGGGGAAGTACAGGCTGTCTCGAAGGCGAGTGCGCAACCACCTTAGCCCGTTTTCTTTTACCACATCCTGTTTGCTACAACACCAGATTATGAGTTTTCTGTAGAAAAGGAGACGTTTTGAGAGGTTTTGGAAGTGTTTGAAGCCAGATTGGACGGGGCTGCCAGCAGGAAGGTGTCCCTGGGATGAGATGGGCTATAAGGTCCCTTCAAACCAAACCATTCTRTGGCTCTGGCATCCCAATATCCATCATTTACAGGTGGAATCCACTCTGCTTCACATTCATGTGCAGTTCAAATTCAAATTGCATATGGGGTCCTTGTCATGCTCCCTTGCCCTGTGGGGTGGAGACCCTTGGAGGAGGGAAATGTGCAGCCCAGGTGCTGCCAGGCCTTCCAGGGAACCTATTAGACCATAATATTGCTTTAGAACGGGATTATCCTGGTTATATTAAATGCTTTGGAGCAAACTTGCTGCCAGTTATAGTTCAGTGATTCCTGTGTCTGACTCTGGCCTTTCAAATTGCGTCCGTCTGCGAGGCAGGGAACGAAGCTGGGTTAGAAATCCTGGGATGTGATGTCAGAGCATCCTACAGCTCCTTGTCTGGCTTAGGTTCAGCCAGATTGSATTCTCTTGGGTCCCTCGTGAAGGCAAACAGGCTGTTCTCACTCCTGAAGCTGGTGGGACGTGGCAGTTCCTTCACACCCTTCTGGGTTTCTCATCTCTTGCTGAGCCGTTAGCTTTGGGTCTGGGGGAAGGATGAGAACAGGACGTGTTTTAGCTGTTTCAGCAGCTGGTCTTGCTGCAGTGGAAGTTTTTCACCTTGCCTAGGAAGTAACTTGCRTTTTTTCCCCCCAAAGGTGGCTCAGTTTTATTTTCATGAAATAGAACTAATTAAAACAACTTGTAGTTGATGTAACAAGTTGCAAACCCGTTTTTTCCCTTATTTACCGTCCTCTTTCTCAGAGTGAGGGATGATCTTGCTGGGGTGATTCATTCCAATGTCTTCCATATCCTCCTCACCCAGCTCCAAGCTGGAGGTTTTCCCAGCCAGGGGAAGCATTTTGCCATCTGCATCAGTGCTGCTTCTTCATCTGCATCTGCTGCTTCCTCCTCACAGGGATTGTGGGGGGCTTTGAGCCCCTTCCCTGCTCTCATTTTCCCAATCCAACCCAGCATGGATCACATTCATTCTGTAGCTCCTTAGCTGAGCKTCCAGAGCCTTTGGTCTGATTTGTGGCTCCTTCTGCACAGGGACTTTTCTGCCTGCCCTCCTCAGTTCAAGGGAAATGCGCTCGAGCTGACCCTTCTGGCTGCTGCTTCCTCCAGCTTGGTCAGGGACAACTTTCTGTTGAAAAAAAAAAAAAAAAAAAACCCAACCAAAACTAGAATGAGAACAGCTACAGTGGTTTTTTTGAGGGCAGTGAATCACGCTTTCTGTTGCTTCTATCTCTGCTTATGGACTTGTATTTCATTGTTTTAGAGCTTAGGTGCTAATCATTAGATAGGAGTTAAAAGTCTGTGGAGAAAAACATTCTTGCTCTTCCTCTTTCTGCTGGCACCGCACTCCCTGAGCTGCCTAAAAATAACAGGCTGGGAAAAGTGCCTCCCTAGAGCAT